CCATAAAAATGGCTTCCTGTGAATTTTAAAAGGCCTAACGGTCCATTGTTGCCAATTTTCATCAATTTTTAGGGGTTTTTTCAAGTTTACGTGTTTGAAACTTAATTTAATCTAGAAACCGTGTACAATTTCGGAAAGAACGTAAAAAAATACATAAAAATATGATTTGTACCTTTTCCCTACGTTGCCAAATTTTCGAGAAAAATCGTCCTGAAGCGCCAAAAACGCCAAAAATTGGATGAATCATCACGTCGAAGGTTTTTTTACGTTCTTTCCGAAATTGTACACGGTTTCTAGATTAAATTGGTAAATGTCATTTCGACCAAAAATGACCAATTTTTTTTTTTTTTTTTTTTTTTTTTTTTTTTTTTTTTTTTTTTTCTTAACGTAGTTTTTCAAGTCATGTCCTTAGTTTCAGCATCACCACATAACTCCGTTTGAAGAGGATAAATGCAGGCAGCAGTAAATACTAGCAGTATTTCCTTGTGCCTGTATTTAATTTTATTCTCCCTGTTTAAAATTTGGATAGAAATATTTTTCATCTCCAAGGGAAGAATAACACCAAGAAGGAACTTTGTTTGTAATGAATCCTTATCCACTAATATTCATTGCTTAACATTTTCCTCCTTTTTAATAAGCCTCTTGTGGTCTCAGCATGTGCAGAAAAACCAAAAATAACGGATATAACCACAAAAAACCCTCAAAAAGGGTAAAAATTCCGCCAAGCCTATGAGATCTTAACACAAAATTAGTAGGGAGTATCTAAAAAAAATTTTAAAAAGGAGAGGTGGGGGGGGGGATTAATCTCTGGAAAATTACAAAAGGAGAAAAGAAAAGCAGCTCTTTCAAACGCTGTTTTCAATTTCAAACCTCAAAATGTCTGATATCATTTGAGGTCAAGATTTTTTAAGTATAGGTACGCCCCAGAACTAGAACAAGGAAACGGGGAATTAATTCTGCTGAGAGTCCCCTTCAGTTAGTCTCGGACGCAACCAGGTTACCTTTGAAGCTAGCTTAGTTGCCTGGGTCACTAATACAAGGAAAGATAATTGGATTTGATTCCTGATGCGAGAAGATGGCGAGGGATAAAACAAGCAGTTCTTTTTTCAGTCTCAAACCTCAAAATATTTGATATTTTTTGAAGTCAAGATTTTTTACCATCTCCTCATCTCACTTTCATTTTCGTTTTGCATTTTAGGAAATAAATTCCACTCTCATACATCATTGAACTTTCTTCAATTTTTCGTTAATTATTCCCCTTCATTTCAGGTAGCCGCAAATCTTCTTACCTACAATAGCTATATGTAAGGAACCATTGTATAATACTTACAACCTTCCTCGTTTAGATCAAGAATAGAATAAATGTTTTCAATTCAGATTCTGGCTCACTCTTTGAAAATTAAAAAAAAAGTCAGGTAGATGAAGGTAGAATTTTTAAAAAGAGCCAAAAAAATTAGCTAAAAAATAACAAATTCTGACGAGACGGTCCCGATACGTATCATTTGAGTGTCAGCTGCAGGCCATCTTCTTCAGACACTAAGGTATAGCCTCAAGGATTGTAAGCAGAACAACAAAGGAAGGATCACATGAATGCTCGAAAAAACTCCTCTAAAATTCCAGCTAGCACTTTAAGCTTATGAAATTCGTTTCGTGGCAGATCCCGAAGACTTATTTAGATATTTATTCGTTCACTTAAAATGAAGGAGCTGACTGTCGAATTTATGATTTTTCCGCCTGGTGCTCACAGTAATTAGCTGTTCTGAATTTGGAAGGACGTAGGTGGGTGAGTGGTGAAAAGGAAGAAAGAAAAATCGACTCGAACTGGTGAAAAGATGCATTTCCATTTTTCGGCAATTTTGAACGTCGCTCGATCATCCTTATTATTGGCACTACTCTTTCAGCCATACCACACCCACAAGAGTATCGGGACCGTCTCGCCGGAATTTTTTATTTTTTAGCTAATTTTTTTGGCTCTTTTTAAAAATTCTACCTTCATCTACCTGACTTCTTTTTTTAATTTTCAAAGAGTGAGCCAGAATCTTAATTGAAAACATTTATTCTATTCTTGATCTAAACGAGGAAGGTTGTAAGTATTATACAATGGCTCCTTACATAGCTATTGTAGGTAAGAAGAGTTGCGGCTACCTGACCTAACCTAACTAGAGGTTTTTTGTGGTTATAGGACTCTACGCACAACCTCCCTATGAATCCAGGTGTATTAAATTAATGAATCGAGAAGCTTGTGCACAAGGTATGGTTTGGGAGTGACCATATCGTGACCGAAAATCCTATTTTTGAAACTGCAAAAATCTATCAACCAAGCTTGCAGCCGTTATGTACAACCTTTGACAGGAGTGAAATGACCCATCAAATCTTGTGTAGGCGTATTCACGAATGGATAAGTGATGACGAATTTCACATCCTCTGAGGTAAATAAAGAATGTATGCATACAAGGTGCATGTTATCATATTGATGACTAACGAACAATACCGCCTACCTGCAAACTGACGATTTTGCTGAACCAAGAGAATTTTTGTAATATTAAAGTTGAATTTGCAATTTTTCTTTACATTATGGGGTCATTGAAGCACTTCCGTACAGAATTGGAAAAAAAACTAAAATCATCAGCTAACGTATTTTATACTGTAGAATGCAGCAAAGTCGCTGACTGACTCTTCTTTGCCAAAATTGTCAGTTAGGCAGTATTGTTTGTTAGCCCTCGATATATTACCTTGTGTTGTTTTTGTTTAAAGACCGCGTAGATTCTCATTCAAAAAGGGAACAGGAAGCTTTCTGATGGTCGATAAGTTTACGATTAATTCTAGACCCCAAAGTTATTTCCTAATTTGGGCAAAAATTGCCCTTTACCGCAACTATTCATTATCCTTGGTCGTTGCTGACGCATTTGTATCAAGTCATCTTATCGCGTTGTCGGATGGAGAAACCCTTCAAATAAGTTTCTTGGAATTGTGTTAAGACCCCATACGCCAATTTTCAGTCAAATTGGAGGGGGTCAGATACCAAACCTGACTTAGTTGACGTGGAATGAATTGAGTGGTATGAGGGAGGGCATGGCATGATTTGTGTAACTGAGATCGTTGGGCCGTATCGGAATAAAATTAAAGGACCTTCAAGAACTAACCGCAAGTTTCTCAAGGATTACCAAAGTTTAAAACGTAACATGAGAGTAAGTATTTTGATCTTAGTGTTACTCTTTTTCATTTTTGTACCATTGGATTTTAACTTTTGTGATTCAGCATTAAATTTAATCTTTTATCTTGTTTAAAAGTAATTCAAGGATATTAAAGGCCATTTGGACCTCATTTTGCAATTAGGAACTACAATTTCTAGCTTATCTGTAAAAACACTTACAGCGGGGGGAAACTAATGGCACTCACGTTGTTTTCAAACTGAGCCAGAAGTTTTAGTTTCTCGTTGCAAAATAAGTCCATTTATCATAAAAAATAAAGGAGCTTCCCTCCATATTTTCACTCCTCCCGACCGCATTATAGCAAAGTCGGAGCTTTCACATTGAGAAGCTAAAAAAAATGTTAGTAGATTACATTTACGAAAAATAAAGGAGCAAAATTTAAGTATTTGACAAGTGCAAATGGAAACCAAATTACCTCAGTTTCGGACGACATAAAACGAGGGAAGCACTGTTAAATGCTTCAAACAAGTACAACCCTTATAACATTTCCAAAGGCATTCAAAATGTTACCGCCAAATCTAAGTTTTTCAGGCAAACCTGAATCTTTGTTTTACCACAAATATGATTGCTGTGTAACTTTTTTTTACCGCTAGAGTGAATGTACTGCTTCACCTTTTTCTACCTAAACTATGACCATGCCAGACAACTTTTTTTTCCCACTAAGTAGAGTGAGTGTGCTGTTCAACTTTTTTTTACTGTAAATAAGACTGTGATGCCCGCGGCGCGATGAAATCTCGTGCGGCAGGCGCCTTTTTTTGGAAGAGAAGTATGTCATCGCAGCAGCAAGGAGTCAAAACTGATTGCTTATGGGGTGGAGAAGAAAAGATAAGAGGGAACACAATCGGTGCCTAAATCTATATTACTCAATAAAGGATCGTGATTTTTGAAAGATATGTAGCACGTCCGCTCGCGGGGGCCGTTAGAAAAAGCCAAAAAAAGAAGATACTCATAACAGCCAGCACATTTTCTGATAGGTACTAATTTAAATTTTGGGTTGACATCGATTGTTGCTGCGTAATCCTGAGGATATGTACTTAGCAGTGACGTTAAGAAATATTCAAGATACAAGCGATAAATCCTGACTTTACAAATTAATAGGAGGTGACGAAAAATGGCATGTTTTGAGATCAGCGACTGTGGCGCCATCTTTTAGAATTTTCTTTGTTAGCTTTGTGGGATTCTACCTTGACGTAAACTCTACTAAACCTGCGTAAAATTATAAGTTTCTGATGTTGATATCGGTGGAAAATGAAATGAAAAAGAGTCACTTGGACGTAGGGTAGGTACCTACTTGGCATTATTTGGGAATTAACACTAGGTAGTGTCATTTGCTTCAATGAGGGAAGCGTTAAGGCTGTTCCTGGTGATTACTTGGCGACTCGAGCTACTTGATTCTTTTGGCACTTGGTAAGCCCAGATGGACTTCTTTGGTGCCACCATCGTTATTTTTGCGAAATTTCTGGTCAGAATTACTTGGCATCTTAGGAATAAGTCCCAAGCATTCAAATTCTCCGTAAATCAATCAGAAGGAATTGATATGCTCTAGTGATGTTGGTAGCCTTTATTCATTCTTGAGTCAAAATCCATCAATTTCAATCCTAGAAATCTCTTTTCGTTGGTAAATTTCATCCCATTTCCAGGATGAGCGAAGGATTTAAGCAAATTCTTTGGCGCTTTAGGAACAGCTTATTCCGTAGTTTCCAAACAGAATGGTGTAACATAATTTTTCTTTCACTTAGCTACACCCAACCCTGTGACTGTCATTATTAATGAACATTGAGTACTTACATTGATTTGCCTCTCTCCAATAAGGCGAACAACATTTCTTCCCATTACTGACTTTGACATACTGCTAAAATCATTCAGAGAGCAAAACTGGAAAGAGGGAGTGAAAAAGTGTCATGCTTGACATACGAGATCTGAAAAAAGAGGTTAAAGAGTTATCCCAATATAACATCTTTGCTGATATTACATCATTGCATTGGGCCAAAAAATGCAAAAAAATTTACAGAAGGCGCTTTGCGTTGTTTCATTTGGAGGGGGAGAGAAGAAGGCTTCACCCCCCTGGACGCGTGCTTTTTGTGTGGTTAGGAAAGTTTACGCGATTTGCTAGTTTTAGCGGAATCCGTGCATTCATCTTGAGAAGAATGTATTTTCTGAAGAATGAGTGTCAACTCAGGTGTAGTTTCAGTATGGCATAGTTGATAGTTGACAGTTTTTAATTAAAACAACACTTAAAAACAGTTTGTCCAAGAAGTTTCTTCCCGTGACATACTGTGTGATTAAATTCTGTCCAAAAAGTTTCATACGGTTACCTACTGTGCGACAGGGCATTTATTCAAAACCAAGGGTATAATTTCACACATGCAGTCCCTAAAGTCCCATTCTTCTTCGGTCCCTAATCAAGCCAGCCCCAGGTAACCATTGTCTAAGACCATCAAACCCAGGTCACCAAGCCGGAAGTCGAACCCACAACCTACCCATCCCATCACAGGGCAAGCGCTACAACCACTACACAATACGAGGCCGACAATCCTAGAACTGGGGAACGAAAAGAAGAGACAAATGTCACATCCAAAAATTGCACCATTCAACAGATATTTACATGCTAACCAATGGGCCAACTGATGATTGATGCATCCAGACTGATGAGACTCTTGTCTCTTCCTTTTTTTCCCCAGTTCTAGCAGTTATTTCGAAATTTTACCAATATTTCAGGTTGTACTGATGGACATTACTCCACAACCCAACAAAAATTGAAGGTACAGCAATCAGTGTGTAAAAAAGTGACTGAGTGAATTAGAATCATGTATCACACACTCACTGAGTGGCTGGTGACTAACTTACATGAAATTGTACACTGACAGTAAGTTGGAAATGTGGCCACCGTAGGTACACTAAAATCCAGAAAACTGGAAAACTCGGTACAAACAAAAAAAGCTCATTCGAGCGCAATTATCCCTCAAGGAGATGCCCTGTTTTGTACAACACTAGTTACAACCATTCAGGAGGGCGACTGCCTGCAGGTGCATTTCAGGTCTACCTGGACCCATCATAAGTACTGCACGGCCTCCTGAATTCTCTGCTACCAAACTCGGAGAGATCGTGAAAACCAGCCCGAGACTTGGGCAAGTCGGCCTCCTGTGGTGTAAGTAGTGGTTGTAGCCCTGGTCCTAAGACTAAGAGGTTCGTACCGGGTTCGATTCCCTGGGGCTGGGGTATAATAAGCGTGGGATTAACCGATAGGCTCTTTGAAATTGGCAAAAAAAAAAAAAAAAAAAGAAGTGGTCACTGGTGGCTTGGTCACTAGTGAACATACGCCATCTAGTCGATATTAGTACACTTCCAACCTACAGTGTATACGACTCGCGCGTCTACCACATTCAGTTCGTGAAAAATTTACACTAATGCCACTGGTCTTATATCTATCATTAAGACGTGGGAGTTCCTCATAGAAAGATGGGTGTATTAAATAGCAATCCCTTGGATTTCATGTGATGTAACATGCATCAAAGGGCCAATTGATTCTACAGAGCGTTCCCTGACTGGGAACAGTCTGTAAGGCAGAATCCTATTGGAATGTATGACAGAGAGCATGATGAGTTAGAAGAGTAAGAGATTACATACTAAGCTCAATAGCAATTAAAAGACAGTGATGAGACAATTACTTCTCCGCATGACTCAAAATTCAAGCAAAATTTGGGAGAATTGAAGAAAACTTACGAGTCTAGCCGGCAGGATTTTCGCGGATGATTACAGTGACAGTGAAATTAGGGAATTAACAATGATGATTCGATGAAAAGGAGAAAGGAACATTAACTTGAGCGTTGGAGGTAAGATTAACAATCAGGAATAAATTGAAACTGCAGACATAGGGGAAAACGGTCTGAAAAGCGAAAATTCGGGGAAAATTCAGAATGGGTATTGACCACCATCAAAACGTGGAGTACATAGATTCATAGAAATACGTCCAATCCAAGTCCAATCCAACTCACAAAACAAAACAAAAAACAAATCAATCTTGACTTCACGCCATGGACCAATAGAATAAATAAGGACCCCCAACTCCGGTTAGCGTTGACATCAGCGCTCCCTGGCAGAGGGTGTAGTCAGGGACGAGTTCTATAGGACGCCGTTCTGTTGTGAGCGGGTGATTGCAGCGCATTCTCGCGTAGGATCCTAGTCAACTCAGAGGATCCTTCCCCCCGAACCTCGACTCATCCATCGCCCGCTCCAAAAGTGAGGTTAAGCCGCAGATTGAAAAATAACACATAAGGCGGCTGAATTCTTAAAAAATAAGTATATTTTTGGCGTTTTTCGACCCCTTTCGACTAGGAAGGGCCCGCCGCATGTAATATTACGATGAAAAATTCGATTTTTCGCAGTTATACGCGATCCTACGGATTTTAATGAAGTCCAACAACTGATAACAGCAGTGAGTTGCGAGGATCCTACGCGCGATAGCAGCACTAGTACCTGCTCACGAATTTTTACATTGACTCTTACGGGAGTCCAGGGTCCTATAGAACTGGTCCCTGGTGTAGTGAACTAAACCGATGATTGGGTCTTCCTGTTTATATTTCCATGCACCACCTATTTAGGCTTATCACTCAGTAGTGCTCATAGAAGTTTCTAGATCCTCGTATCCTCGTGGTCGCCCGGCAGTTTTGAAGAGTTTAGTGTGAAAAGTTTCCCATTTTCATTTCAATCTTCGT